AGGGTGTTCCTATTTGGTGTACTTTAAAATATGCTTAAGCTTTTTTCTGGTTGTTTTCCAAATGTAAAAAATGGTTAAAGCTTTTCCATGAAAGCATAATTAGTATGCTCCTTTGTTCTTATGTTTTTCCCTGACACCATCACTTTAAGTTGACAGTGTTTACAAATAGAGAATCCAGTGGTGCATCAGCCCTGCAAGGTCAGGTTAGTTTATGACACATTCTGATTTCTGTTGGAATTAATGCATCATCCATGTCAGGAGCCGATAGAAAACAAGTGTAGTTTCTTAAATGGTTGTTGTTGGCGTAGATTTATGACGGCGATAAAGACGATGTCGTCTAGCCCTGTTTAAAGAAGCCAGTTTAAAACAAAGGGTGTGTTATATGTTACCCTTGAAAAAATTTATAATACTCAGCTATGATGCAAGCCTACTAAATTTTATTGGAGTGCATGTCTCCCTCCAGTTACTAATGAGGTGCTTTGTTAAGTTGTTCTTTGTTAGCTTTCTTGATGTATAAATTAGCCGTAATAACATTTTTAAAGTTTTTACTTGAGCTTGAACTTCTAACAGCCAAATATCAGAATTTAGCTGATATTTTAGCCTACATCTGACCTTATTAAAAAAAACTATAATAATTATAATAATCGAGGCTTACAGCTACCATAAATTGACCTGCAGTAGTATCAAGAACTGGTTTTTGCACTTCAGCAGATGGTCCCTTGGGTCTTCAGCACAAGAAACAAGTGAGGAATCATTTCTCTGTGTTGGCCAGTGGGATAGTGGGTTAAAGAAAGCCAAGTCTGGTGTTCATTATAAAATGGTCCAGAAGATATTCTAGAAAAAGTGGAGTTTGGACCTTGTATTAAAATATTTCTCATCTACCACCCTCTGTACTTCTACCTTTCCATATTTACTCTCTTAGATCTGTAAGAGAACCTAATGGGGCTGTCTACACAGCACATGAGTCCTCTCTACAGTATGCCTCCCAGGTGGCCAGTTAGGCTCTGAACACTTTCTTTATTAAGAAACTTCACATCTACAGAATCATTCTTTTCCGTTTTCAAAAGGCTCTAATGTGAAAGAATTCGTTGTTACCTTCAGGCCAGGGTCTGTCTCTCTCCTGCTTTCACTTAGTAGTTATAGAGACTATTCCCATTTCCTCCTATACACTGTGTAATCAAGTGGCCCTCCTGCTACTTTGTATGTACACTTTTTGTGAGATGTTAGCCTTACTGTGTTGTGTTCAGAACAAGGTGTCCTGTTGAAAACAGGATGATGCCACAGATTTCTGGCTAGAAGTTTGGGCTACACAAACCAGGCAGACTTTTCCAGTACCTTTTATATTCATTAGTGAAAAAACAAGTCCTCAGACAAGAAGTAGACTCAAATGCTTCTCTGGGCTTTGCTTTCTGGATTTAGAGGAAGAGTCTATAAATGCTTAAAAGTGTTTCCATGTGATAGGAGAAAGGTGGACTGTTATGAAACAGTCATGCTCAAATTAGGGAGAGAGTACTCTTTTCGAATAACTCCCATTCCCAAGTTTTGGCATGCTGTCCTAGGAAAGCATGCCTCCCACTTGAAATTAAAAGCTAGTATCACGGTGAATGTATTGTGCAATGAATAATGTGTTGCATATGTAAAAAGAGCCTGGAAACCAAATTTGAGGGAGGTCAGTAAGGTTATTTATGTGCATAAGCACTATATCTTGATACAGCTTATCTTGTCATGTGTTACTCTTTGCATATGTTATCTGCTTTTGGTCCCCAATCTTTAGTAAAGTTTCTCTTTCATTTTCCAGCTTTGTTTCAGTTGTGCTGTGAAAAATTAAGACAAAATTACTTGGCCACATTTGGGCTATGTTCAAGGGAGCCCCATGAAGCCCATATGTTACTGGTACATCCATGCAAGGAGAGATCCCCAAGTAGACAGTGAAATCTCAGAGAGTAATTCAATGCAAGAAGTCAAGCCATGTTTTCCCTTAAGGAGAATCTCCCTTCATTGCCACCACTCTGGCTTTAGGATTTGATGTTATAAGGGAACAGACAGTGCTTCCTTGAAGAATTTGAAGCCATGCATCAAAGACTCCTTTTCTCCGCTCTTTAACACCCTACATTTCTTCACATCTTCTCTTCAATAAAAGCATCTTCAGTTCTTTAAAAATCTTTTTATAATTACAAGACTTCCTGATTATTTACCATACTAGTTAGTTTCTTTAGGACACACCCTAGCCTGACAGCCATAATTTTTACATGTTTCATATGAGGAGTTTCTGGACCACAGCATATTTGGGAGACATGCCCGGATTATGGGAACTTATTGGACCCTGTTTCTTGGACACTTCTGCAAGGCTTAGGATTGAGCAAGCTGAAGTGACATCTCCATTTCAGCTACATTAGAACACTTGCTGTTTCCCCAGCACACCATGTGCTCTCAGGCCTTTGTGTGGTGGCTCAGGCTGGACCCTCTGCCCGAAGTGTTAACCCATCACATGTCCCAGTGACATCCTACTCACTGCTTATGACAACATATATCTTCCCGCCTGATCCGAAGCCTCTTTCTCATGGTACCCACTTGTCCAAACTTCTACTCTAGCAGTTGTTAAGTGATTTTATAGCTGTTTGGGTTTACGAGGGATGTCCCAAAAGTATCCAGCCATTGTTAATATAACAATAAAATATAATATGGCTGGATACTCTCTGGACAGTGCTTGCATACATATCTGCCCCCAGTAAATTCCTTAAGGACAAGTATTTTCTATTTTTTTGTTGTTTGCCTAAAATCAGTATAATTAGTTCCTACTACTTGAAGGTGCTCAATAAATATTTGTTGAATGGGCAAATGAATCGATAAATGTGTTTCATTATTGAGTATGTGTTTAACCGGAAGTTCTAATAATTCAAATTCTTCTTGGAAAACTGAATTAGCTCTTATATTTGCAGTACTACATTTGCATATGGATGTTGTCTAATATTTTGAGTTTGATAAGTAATGATTTTTTGCTAGAGTCCAGATTTAGAATTATGAATAATTTCTAATAGAGCAGCTGAATTAAGTGTGCAGACCATTCTGACATAACGGCAGATGCATGAGGAAAAGCAGTGTCTTTCATTCAGACTTCTTCCTCATTTCATTCATTATATTCAAAAGGAAAGCCCCATGTGATATTTACATCTATTCTTCATTATTCAGTGACATAGGGGAATAAACATTTTATAATGTTTTACTACCTGAATCTCACCCACTTCAACTCATTCTTTTTACTTTAAAAAATGACTTATTTTAATGCTAATGATCAAAAAGGCAAAAGGAATTATTTTAAATGACTGAATAGAAACATCCTTTTTTAAAAAATGTAAACCAGTTTTTCAATTGATGTGAGTAAAATCTTGAAAAGAATTTTCAAAATCTACCTTATGTTGGCAATCATGTAGAATTCTGACTTGCTGAATAGTTTAACCACATGACCATCTTTGACTACCACATTTTAAGTTGTCAATTGTCAAAGAAGGGATGCTGTTTAGTATAAAGAAGGGTTTTGGCATGATGAAAAGTATGCTGGCCTTGGAGCCAGACAAACTTATGTTTAAATTTCTTCTTTGTGCACACTTGCCATGTTATCTTGGGCAAGTTATTGAATCTCTCTGAGTCTTAGTTTCATCGTCTGTAAACTCATGATGTTCATACCTACTTAGAAGCATTGTTTTGAGGGTAAAAAATAAACAATGTAGGTAATGCATTCAGTACATGTATTACCATTTAACAGAATTTCAGTAAATAAGTAAATGTGAAGATTTTGTAAATCTTATGACAAAATGCTATTTTTATATAAAATTAAAAACAAAAATACTTTTATTACTTCATATTTACATAGAAAGAACCTTATCTATTCTTGACATAAGAGAAACTGCAGTGCTTTGAATTATTAACGGGAGAGCTGTTATTGTAATTGCCACTCAGTCTATATAGTAGACTCTCTGATGTCAAAAAAGTGATTTTCCAAAAGATTAAGTGGTGATATTATATAGAGTTTACCAAAATAAATTCTAACTAATCCTTAAAATGTAGTCAGTAAGTTCACTTGTCCTGCAGTGACATAATGTGCAGGAACAAAGAGAATAGTTGATTACAAATATCATTCATCATGAAGCATATTATTAATTGATTTTAATCACATGGGGCTAAGGAAGTCAAGTTATACTCATATGTTTTTAGAGTGTTAGGACTAGAAATAGTGAGAATGGGATATGCCACTCATTCAAAATAAAGGATGTCAGACAAAGTATCTTCTGCTTCAAATGGAAGACATATTTTCATTAGACATACACACAGGCTGTCATATACACTTCCACATAGTGAAAACATGAAAGCCTCTTTCTGATGGTTTTCTAGGTACAGGCCACAGGACCAACCTATTGACATGTTTCCAGCAATAGGATTCTTTGTATCATTTTTATAGTTAACCTCCCTTAGATTGGTAACAGTCCAGGGATATCCATTATTTTAAATGGTGCTTCATAGCAAGTACTGGTTTAGCAGTTGTTTGCTAGTGTTTTTCATTTTATGAAGCATCTGTGGGGCTTTGGTTTTATAAGGTGAAGCAAGTCATTGGTAAGAAGGCAATGAAAATGACTGGGAAATGGGTTCAAGGGAAAGGTGAGTTAGAGGGCAGCCAGAGTATGAATAGATTTGGGGCATAATGAGCCTTCAAGTTTTACTCTGTGCTGCAATCTGGGAGATTTTCTTAAAGCTGATTGATTTCCAGAATGCCCCAAGTGTTTAATTCCAGCATAGTCTACAAACAGCCAAATCATCCTTGCCAAAGTAATTCTTTCCTCCTTTGATAACAATATTCATATCTTATTGTGGTTTTCGGTCTTATAGAGGGGGAGGTATTTTAAATTATATCCTTTTAGCTCATTTCCCCAAGCATCACCATTCTTACCCTTTTAGATACTTTCAGTATATCCACTAGTACTTAATATTATTTTTTTCTTACACAGATCCAGTGCCCCACTTGCCAATTCGTCTGGTGTTTTAAGTGCCACTCTCCTTGGCATGAAGGTGTTAACTGCAAGGAATACAAAAAAGGAGACAAATTGTTGCGTCACTGGGCCAGCGAAATTGAGCATGGGCAGAGGAATGCCCAGAAGTGTCCAAAGTGCAAGGTGAGATAAACTCTAAGAGGAAAGGGGAAAAACCATGTACATCTGGGTATAATTGAACAATATTTACAGTATTGAACTGAATTATGTTTATAACTATCTTAATGAAGTGTGGAGAAAAAGAGTATTTGGTGTTTCATTTTAGAAGAGTAATTATATTACATAAATAAACTGAAAATTCTCTATATAAACAGTATATATTATTATTTGAGGTTAACAAGATAGGGATCTACTAAAGTCTGAAGTTTTCTGTAAAGCTTACTTTAGAAAATTATATGTGTGTGTTTATATATGTGTATACTCCGCCATACGTGGTTTTCACCTTTTCCCAAATTTAGTTTTAGAAATCATGTCTAAATTAGGCTTAATTTTCTTTTTTTTTTTTTCAGTATATTATGGGGTTACAAATGTTAAGGTTATGTATATTGCCTAATTTTCTTTTAAAAACAATTCTGCAATTCCTTCCTGGAGACTTAGCACCAGATAAATGAAATTTGAATTGTCAGAAAATTTTAAAGATTGAATAATTGTGAATCCAGTTTGAAGTTGTAAATTCAAATATACCAAAAGTATATTCCAAAGCCTATTAATGAGCATAATAATAATGTACAGATTCACTATACCAAATACACATACCAGTTTATACATATAGTAAGGAAAAAGTATTAGTATTATATGAAATAACAAATTGCATTCTTAGCAACTTGAAGACATTTTTGAAATAGTTTAGACGACCTGGCTCTCTTAAATGTGATGTCTAAAGATGTTTGGGCTAAAGCTTTCTTTGTTTTCCCTGTAGAAGGCAGATTCATTCACAGTTAACCTTTTTTATTTTAGAGCTATTTCATATCACTACATGGATTGCTCATGACACTTTGATTTTTCATCACATCAAAGAACAATTAGAAAATGAAGCCTTTCCCCCTTTCTCTTGCCTTTTCAGTTTATTGAAAGCTACTACTCAGTTTCAAACCAAATAAAGGCCAGTAGGAACTTGGGGGAGCTGTTAAATCATTCTACTTAACACTTTGTTCATAAGTTCACCTTGTATCTCTTTGGAAAGCTGTAAAAACTATTACCAATTAGCCTGGTTCTAAGACTGTGCTCTGAATGAACAACCTTGCAGCATTATACATTGGGGAAATTCTGAATGAACTGACGTAATACATAAAAACATACATTTGTTACTGTAATTGCTAAATCTCACATTAAATGTACTCACATATAGGAAGAAAAAGCAGCCAACCATGAGGAATTTGCTGAATGCACTAACAGCTGCCCGCAGTTTTAACAAATACAGATAAACAGTTACGAGAAAGCATACATGCTGGTTCCCCTTTGAAGTAATAGCTAAAAGGTCAGGGCTTTAAAAGGAATTACCTTTTAAATAGCTGAAACTTTGGAAAAGAGCCCTGGAATCAGTTTACATGATTACGTTGTAACAGGGAACCTACTTTCTGGTGGGATTCAGGTCCATAAATTTTATATTTGTTTAAGTCATATTTTATGACATGTTTTGAGTACAAATGGTTTCGTTTTCTTTTTATTTTTTAAGTATGACTTTAAAGCTTTTCATTTGCTTAATTGTGATTTATTTTTGTTGGACCTCAAAATTATATTTTCCTTAGTGAAACATTTCTATTCTTATAATAGAAACCCAGGGGGAGATATTACTTAATGAATAAATATTTGTTTTATACTCCAAGGCTTTGTTTTTGTAAGTACATCCTTTAAAATATATAAGTTTAAAAAAGGAAGATGGTAGGAGTTTGTGAAAAAGAAAAGAAAATTTTCACATGTAATACCTCCAGGTGAACAAAACAATTATATATTTTCATATAAATGCTTTCAACCATAATAATCAAAGGTGTTTAAAATTTTGTTGCCAAAGTATATTTATATTTTTGTACCCTGCTATAGGTATATTATATGTTTTAATTAATTCATAATTTTAATAGTTATTTGGATTTTTAAATGATCATGTTGTCATATAGGTCATATAACGAGGTCATATAAAAAGGTCATATAACAAGAGATAGAAATTTGGTAAAGAGAAGGAAAATATTCACCCAGAATTCTGTTGCTTCAGTATACTCACAATTAACATATTAATGTATCTCCTTGATCCTCCCTCTATTTAAATGACTTTAAAAAGTTTTAGTTGTAGTATGCAAATAATTTAATATCATTCTTTTTTTTTCACTTAATGTCACAAACATTTCTCATGTTACTAAATAGTTCTTTCATTAACTGTGTAAATATTCACTTAAATATCCTTCTGCTATTGGATACCAAAGCTTACTTCGTTTGAGTCTAGGATATTTTTTAATATATGTATTAGAAATAATGTATTGATGATATTCATTTTGATTGTATCTTTTTTCCAGATTTTGAACCTTTGAAAGCATATATTAAAGGTAGAATCACTGGGTTAAACAATATTGGTGTTTTTAGTATTTGGCACATCTTACTAATATGCTGTCTAAAAAGATTGAATTAATTTATAATTCACCAGAAAAAGTTGAGAACCTGTTTCAGTATGAGCATTTCTTTAAAATATTTTGTTCTTATATTTTACATTTCCTTGTTTTCTTATAAATTGAATATAAAGTCATGTATTTTTAAGTTTATAATTTTCTGTTCATATCCTTTGCTCATTTGTGTGGATCAGGTTGGGACATATATTTATTATCAAATTATATGAGCTCTTTATTTGAAAATATTAATTCCTCTTTGGCATTTTTCCCCATTTCCTATTTCTTTCTTTTTATCTGACTGGGAAACATTTTTACTTAATTGGTTTGCATATATATTTTAAAAATGTTTTTGTTTGACCAAATGCATCATTCTCTTCCTTTTGAACACACACGAACATACACATAAACCCACACACGTCATGCCCATACTCGTATTTTTATATATTTACATATCTTTTATATATTTTTATAAATTTTTTTTTGCTTCTAAGCATAAAAAGTTATTTGTAATCCAGAAATTTGATAAAAATGTCTACTTTCTTCCCGTCTTTTAATTACTTAATTTCCAAATATTTTAACTCTTTAACCCATCCATAATTTATTTTGGTGTTTATTATGCATTGGTACCTAAACTAATTTTTTCCAAATTGAAACCATCTAACCAAATTCTATTTATTAAATAATTCTCTTCTTACCAGTTGACTTATAATTTATTTTAAACATGTTAAATTATAATATGTAATAGTCTCTTTTCTGAGTTCTCTAATCTTGCTGTTAATTTTTAAAGAAAATTCTGTACTTATACAGATGAATTTTAAATGATTATGACTTTGTAAAATTTACCCATCTAAGCAAGGTTTGATAATCTGTTCATTCGTTATTTTAATTAGTTTTCCAAATAAAACAAATTTTTCTCTCATTTACCTATAAATGTCACTTCTCCCCTTAATAAATTTTTAACTTTTTCTCAAATGGAAAGGCCAATTTAACATGTGTTATAGTATTATGAAGAGGTTTGACTTGTGCTTAGAAATCAAAATTATTTACAATTAAATCTTGGCAGATAACAAGGATGAGTATTAAAATTTTTTTTCTTATTTATGATCAATCCTAAGTATGATTTTTTATACTAAGATAAAAATATATAAACATTTCTGGAAGTTATTTATAGAACATTTTTATTAGAAACTTAATAGCTCCATATTAAGACAACTTTATTAGCCACTTTATTTGAATCTCATTGCCTCTTAATGCAGAGTATTATTCTATGGACACTTATGAAACATCTTTTTTTCTTGACAATGAGTTTTCTACTTTATATAAACTCTTAACCTACAGAAAATATGTGCAAATTTTGAAATGTCTTTCTTGAACATAGTTACCACAAAATTCAATCTAGTTTGTGATAATTTTAAGATTAAATTAAATTTAAATCAATTAATTGATTTAAATTTTGTTAGAGATATTAGAATATTTGCTCAATTTCATGCAAAAATTCAGTTTGAGGTAATGTTTTATAGCATAGATTAGGTACCAAATCTTGAGTTAAGAAAAAGAATTACTGAGTCAAAGAAGATGAAAAGTGAGGTGCACACCTAAAAGTAACAAAGACAGAATTATAAAATATAAAACAAATAAATATACACAGTTATAAACAGTTTCAATATACATATGTTAAATCATTGGTAAAATTATAATTATTTTTCAAAAACAGTTTTGGGTATCAAATAGCACTTTTATTTTATCATGGTAAAAAACATAAAATTTACCATTCTTACCATTTTTAAGTGCAAATCGTGCTTTTTTAAAATTTGTGCTTCCATTTAAAAGCTTAAAAAGACTTATAAACTATTTTAAAGTATACACTCATTATAGTTATTTAAATGGTAGAGTAATACACCACTAACTAAATTAAAGGCAAGAAACATAATATTTCATCAATTCCTTTTTTTCAGAAAGTGGCTACCACATACAATTTTATTTTTCAATACATACTTTTTAAAGAAAAATTTTAAATAAATATTATTTTACTAACTCATGTATTATTGTTTAATATTATAATAAGCATCATTAAAGATAGAAATCTTTATGAAGCCTTTAAGGATGTGAGTGAGAACTTTGTGAGAACAGTTAAATGAGTCAGTCTTCTGTTTCTTCCTCACAAAGTTTAATATTAACCAATTAGTATTACTCATCTTTCAGTTAATCAAATTTTATCTTTTTGGCCTTTCATGTTTTGCCTTTGTGAAGTTATGAATTGTTAAAACTTCATTTTTCCAAAGGCCAAATTTCTAACCACTCAGTATATATTTTAAACATATGTACACTTAAAAGACAGATTACATACCTTTGGGCCTTCTTACCTGACAATTTGAGGCAAGCAAGTGTAAAGCAAGCAGGAAGTTAAAGTTAAGAAACACTAATTATATAAAGAAGACACTATGTAAAGGAGGTGTTATTGCTTCAAAAATATTTCTGAAGCAAATATTGCAATATGTTAACATTATTAAATGTGGATAATAAGTT